CTCACAGCTCCTCCCTGACCCACCATGAGCTTTTTCCTGGCCAGCACAGCCTCCCTGATGTGCCAGAAAATCCAGGAGAGCCAAAACTGGAGCACGGACTGTGCTGACCCCCCTGGCTGCCACCAACCCCTTCCCCCAGAGCCAAAACAACCCCCAAAGAACCTGTCCCATGGCCACCTTCTTCTCCCTGTGGCAGAGACGTGCGCCATGGACAGCGCCTGCCTGGACCAGGGCAGTGATGGTGCTCAGGAGGCGGCGGAGGAGAAGAACCTGACGGTGCTGGATGGTTCGGCCGGAGATCTGCTCCTCAAGCTGATGCACTTGGCAAACCGGCAGCAGCAGGGCAAGCACCCCCTGCTCTGAGTCCCCCCAACCCTGACTGACCCCCCAACCTCAGCTCTGTACATAGGAGACCCAATAAAAGCCCTCGTGCACTGTGGTGGCCTCGTCCTGGGCACTGGGGGTGGCTCGTGGGGGTTCCAGGGGATCTGCTGGGGCTCAGGATTGGGGTTTTGGAGGGGCTTCTGTCCCCAGAGCCTCACGGAGGTTCGGCTGGGCTGGGTGCAGGGTTTGGGTCCATCCTTTTAGTGCCCAGGGGAAGGAGCTCAGGCAGAGCTGGAGTTTGGGGTCTGGCCATCGAGTCCCACCCCGGAGCCCCAGGAGAATGGGGACAGCTGGGATGTGCCACCATCACGTTACCTCGTGGCCAAGTCCCTCTTTAGGGCAGATTCGGGGCCTCGCTGCCTTCAGCATCTATGAAAAATGATAAAAAGTAAGGAAAAGCTTTTTCCATGGGAAAAGCACCCCAAATCCCTCAAGACCAAAGAGGTTTGGGCTCCCCAAAGATCCCCTCCAAGGCTGGTCTCATCTTTCCCCATCCCCACCGGACACCGACGGGGAGGATCAGTCCCCGTTATCCCACAGTCACCCCCAAAATTTGGGGTAACATTATCCCAACCCTCTACCGGCCCTCTTACCCTGCGGGGTCCTTGCTCCGAGGTCTCTCCGGGCTGACTGGCCACGGCACAGGGGACAGCTCGTCCTTTATAGTGTCCCTGAGGGCGGTGGCACCTCCGGGGAGGTGGAGCTCCCTGGCACTGTCGGGATCCATCCTGCCCACAGCAGCTCCTGCAGGGGATGCAGGATCCATCCAGGACCTGCTGCCCAGCATCCCGGGGAGGGGGGAGACCCCAAATCACCCCAAAATCATTGGGAAAGGGGTGACACCAGCATGGATGGGGGTCTCCAAGCTGGGATGAGGGAATTGGGCTTCCAGCCCAGCTCTAGCACTCGGATTTTCCAAGATGTGGGATGTGAACCCCCAACATTCCTGCAGCACTGGCGATGTGTGGCTGATGAACACCTCAAAATCAGGCAAAAATCGAGTCCCTAAAAAACACCAGGGGCTGATAAGTGGGGTTTTGCTCCACTTGTCTACCTGAGACACATCCTGCAGAGCTCTGGGCACCCCTGGGGTGACAATTCCCTCCCTCCACCCTGTGCTGCAGCCAGAGCTGAGCTGCTGGGACAGCACACAGCAGGTGCTGAGCCCCATTTCCAACCCATTACTGTGGATCCCAGTGCCTGCCTTGTCCCCAGGGACTGGGACTGACCCCGAGTGGGTGACAGGGACCCGGCTGCCCTCATGCCAGCCTTGCTAAGTGGTGGATTTTGAAGCAAGCCAGAGGGACAGGAAAAGGTCATGGCTGTCCAGCTCTGGGCTGCCTAATTCCCAATTAAGCCAGTGCAGGGTAATGATCTCAGTGGACGTCAAGTTTTGTCCCCAGCAGGGAAATTTATTCAAGCTGGGAAGCTCCTAATTGGGATAAGGAAGGCAAGGGGCTGAAGTGAGCAGGACCTTGGGTGGTTGCGTCAGCCTTCGGCCTCATCATCGGCGCTGCTCCTCAAGGAGGAGGAGGGGCGGCTTTGTCTGCTGGTGGCGTGGCTCAGGACACCACACTGAATCCCTGCCTGCAGCTCCAAGGAGAAGCAGTGGGGAAATTTGGGATTTCAGGCCTTTGCTCAGGAGGTTGGGTGCTCTCAGGTGGCTTTGGAGCTGTTGGATGAAGGTGAGTGGGGATGGGTTGGGTGGCACTGTTATCCCAGAGAGGGATAGCCCAGTGCTGAGCATCCCCCAAAGGCCAGGCAGGGATGGATGGAGAGGGCCAGCAAGGACATTCCCCACCCCAAACCCCATGGTGATCCCAGAGGATATGGGGTTGCTTTCTCCAGCCCAAAGAGAATTGAAGCCAAGGGAAGCATACACCCTTCTCCCCCAATCCTGGGGTTGACACATTGCACTTCATCCCTTCATCTCCATGCCAGAGGGGTTCCCAACGGGACACAGCACAGCTCAGCAGCCCAAAGTGGCTGCCAGAGGAGGGCACAGACTCCATGCACAACCTCCATATGTTCATCCAGCTCCATGCACAACCTCCATATGTTCATCCAGCTCCATGCACAACCTCCATATGTTCATCCAGCTCCATGCACAACCTCCATATGTTCATCCAGCTCCATGCACAACCTCCATATGTTCATCCAGCTCCATGCACAACCTCCATATGTTCATCCAGCTCCATGCACCTCTGTATGTTCATCCAGCTCCATGCACAACCTCTGTATGTTCATCCAGCTCCATCCACAACCTCCATATGTTCATCCAGCTCCATGCACAACCTCCACACATTCATCCAGCTCCATCCACAATCTCTGTATGTTCATCCAGCTCCATGCACAACCTCCATATGTTCATCCAGCTCCATGCACAACCTCTGTATGTTCATCCAGCTCCATCCACAACCTCTGTATGTTCATCCAGCTCCATGCACAACCTCCATATGTTCATCCAGCTCCATGCACAACCTCTGTATGTTCATCCAGCTCCATCCACAACCTCCACACGTTCCTGCTGCCAGACTCATCACGGAGGAGAAAACCAACACCTTGTCCTTGACCTCACGTCCTCGACCTCCGGCTATTAGCCGAGCCCTCCGCTGTGGGAAGCAATTCCTTGTGGTTTTTAAGGAACACGGGTGACGCCGGTGCCAGAATCCCTAAGTAGGAGCCAGGACTATAAATACAGGGCCAGTGCTTGGGATGAGCAGCCAAAATTCCCCCCCTGTCCCACCACTATGTCCTGCAAGGCTCTGGTTCTCTGCCTCCTGGGGCTCCTGGCTCTCTCCTCCGCTTGCTACATCCAGAACTGCCCCATCGGGGGCAAACGCGCCGTGCTGGACATGGACATCAGGAAGGTGAGTCCTGGGGGGCTCAGAGCACTGCCGACCCCATCCTTCCCTTCTCCCAACCTTCTCCCCCTCTGCTCCCCGAGCAGTGCCTGCCCTGCGGTCCCCGGGACAAGGGGCGCTGCTTCGGGCCCAACATCTGCTGCGGGGAGGAGCTGGGCTGCCACATCGGCACCTCGGACACGCTGCGCTGCCAGGAGGAGAATTTCCTGCCCACCCCCTGCGAGTCGGGACGCAAAGCCTGCGGCTCCGGAGGGAGCTGTGCCGCTCCCGGTATCTGCTGCAGCACCGGTGAGGGTGGCACGGCACCCCGGGGTTCCTGCACGGAGGGAATTTGGGGTTCTTACAACAGTGGGAGAGGGGAGGATGCCCAAGGGATTGGCTGTGTCCCATCTGTGTGTCCATCCATCACCCCGACAGCCAGACCCCTGTCCTGGGAGAACAAGAGGGTTTGGGGCAGAGGGAAGCAGACAGCAAATTTTGGGGGCTGAGCAAGTGCAGGAGCCACATCCCCTCTCCTGTTCTCTGTTTTTCTCAAAATCCCACCCTCATCCTTAAATTAAACTACCAGAGATGCTGCTCTAAATCCTGGGAAGCATCCAGAGAACGGAGTGAGCACAAGCTCGTTAAACCCCAGTGCTGGGGGGGATCTCTGGGGGCTGTTTCGGGGGGTCTCTGAATGTTTGGGGGATTTCTGGGGGCAGTGGTTTTGGGGGTCCCCTGGGGCTGGTTCAGGGATCTCTGGGGGCTTTTTTAAGGGTTCTCTGGGGGTTATTTTGGGGGTTCCCTGTGGGCTGTTTCAGGGATCTCTGGGAGCTGTTTCAGGGATCTCTGGGGGCTGTTTTGGGGGTCCCTGGGGGCTGTTTTAGGGATCTCTGGGGGTTATTTTGGGGGTCCTCTGTGGTCTGGTTCAGGGATCTCTGGGGGCTTTTTTAAGGGTTCTCTGGGGGCTTTTTTAAGGGTTCTCTGGGGGCTTTTTTAAGGGTTCTCTGGGGGCTGTTTTAGAGAGCTCTGGGGGTTATTTTGGGGGTTCCCTGTGGGCTGGTTCAGGGATCTCTGGGAGCTGTTTCAGGGATCTCTGGGGGCTGTTTTGGGGGTCCCTGGGGGCTGTTTTAAGGATTTTTGGGGGTTATTTTGGGGGCTCCCTGGGGCTGTTTCAGGGATCTCTGGGGCCCGTTTTGGGGGGTCCCTGGGGTCTGGTGGGTGCTGTCTGGTTTCACACCACTCTCCCCCCTCTCTCCCCTCAGAGGGCTGTGGCACTGACTCATCCTGTGACCAGGAGATGCTGTTTGTGTAGCCCACCCGGCAGAGAATCCACAGGACCCTGCTTCCATCGCTGTCCCAGCCCCAGGCTGTGACTCAGACTGAAGTGATGAGCTTAATTAGAAATAAAACTTGGACAGAAAAACAACCCAGACAGAAGTCTGTGGGTTTTGTGTGCTCGCCTGGTTGAGGTGCAGGGTCGGGAGAAGACACTTTTAGGGGAAAGTGGAGGTAAAAAGTGAGGGTTTTCAGGTCAATTAAATGAGGGAGGGAGGGAAGGAGGGAGAGGGACCTACAGACCATGGCTGAACCACAGCAAACTCCAGGCTCAACACTGAGCAGCCCAAAACCAGCAAGTTTTAGCACAAAGCTGACAGCCTGCAAGACCCCAACAACCCAGTTGTCTTTACAATTTTATCTACACCTTCAGTCTCAGGTGATTAATAAATTAAGCCTGAAGGGAAGAATAAGGAGACACCAGAAATCCTGGAGCATTCAGACACATTTTCTTATTCAGCCACACCAAGGGATGTGGAAAGGAGGGTTTAAAGTGTGAAATCAGGATTGCAATTAACTCCTTCCCTCAATAGCATAAAAAGGGAAGGTCAGTGTTTCCTACAAGTTCATTCAGCCCTTGTTTGCCTTTGGAAGCATCCAGAGGAGCTGACAGGCTGTGCCTTGGGACTGCTCCTACTCCTCCCCACACGCTGTGTGTGAAGGCAGGAGGGATCCAAACACGTGGGAGGTGGGATCACAGGCACAGCAACAGGGCTGAGCCAGGCTGCTGGAGCCTCCAAGTTTCCCCTCACCCCCTTTGGAGGCAGCACAGCCAGACCCGTGGCTTTTCTCCAGCACTTCTGTGGCCAGTTTACACGTTCAGAGAAAGGATCTGTGTTTTTTGGGGGGCTCTGGACACCAGCCAGGCCGGGAGCCCCGTGCCAGGGCTGCTATGACAGCACCGTGCGCTTGACGATCCGCCCGTCCTTGTCGATGGCGAAGTTGTAGTTCCGTGGGTTGTCCAGGCACTCCTCGATCCGTGCCTCCAGGTTCTCGGGGGTGATGAAGTTTTTGGCTTCCTCCTGAAGCAAAGGACAAGGATTATCTCCCTCAGGATTATCCCACCCCGTTCCCAGAGCTCAAGCTCTCTCCCATCCACGCGCTGTCAACACCCCTGCAAGGTGCCGAGGCTTGTGTCTGAAAAATCTGTGGAAAACAAGCCCACGGTTTCCACATGGCTCCCTGGCAGGGAATTCTGGCAGCCTGCTTCCCAGGAGGCACCAGCTGCTCTTACCTGCAGCTGGAGAACCTCCTTCTCCTTCTCCTCCAGGAAAGCCTCCATTTTCCTGGCCTGTTTCTCTGCAATCTCCAACTTCCTCCTCTTCTGCTCCTCCTCTTCTTTCCTGAGTCTCTCCTCTCTGCCAGAAAGGAAAATCTGATGGATGAGGTGACACATCCACCCCCAGGAGAGCAGGAGGCTGCCCAGAGCACCCTGACTTGGCCCTCAGCAGCAAAAGGTACAGGAACCACGACAGCTGCACAGGCAGATTTCTTTAAAAAGGCCAGGATTTCCCAGAATCACAGAATCAATTAGGGTGGAAAAGGCTTTGTCCTCTTGTCCTCTGGAAGCAGATCCTGACACATGCTGGCTGCAACCTCCTGTCAGGACTTGTGGAGAGTGACAAGGTCTCCCTTGAGCCTCCTTTTGCCCAGGCTGAGCCCCCTCAGCTGTCCTGGTTCCAGACCCTTCCCCAGCTTTGCTGCCTTTCCCTGGACACATTCCAGCATCTCTGAGTCCTTCCTGAACTGGGGGGCCCAGAACTGGACACAGCACTCGAGGTGTGGCCCCACCAGTGCTGAGTGCAGTGGAAGAATCCCTTCCCTGGTCCTGCTGGCCACACCATTCCTGATTCAGGCCAGGAGCCCTCTGGGCCATGTGGGCACACGGCTGGCTGGTGTCCATCCAGCCTGCTGCCCATCAGTCCCTGCAGGTCCCTTTCTGCCTGGCTGCTGTCCCCAGCCTGTAGCTCTGCAGGGGTTGTTGTGCAGGCCCCCAGGCTTGGTTTCAACCCCTAGATCCAGCCTGGCCAGGTCCGTGCTGCCCTGCAGCAGAGCCACACTCACACCCAGCTCGGTTCATCTGCAGGGCCCCACCTCCTCATGCAGATATCAGCAAAGACCCCACACAGGGCTGTGCCCCACCCCTGGGGACACCGCTGGTGGCGGGGTGTGACCATCCCCTGTTCCTAACCCGGGAATGACCCTGCCCACGCTTCTCTGTACACACCAGGCCAGGCACTAAGTGGGCCCGGCTCTGCAGCCCCCGTGCTGACCTGCGGGCCCTCTGCCGCGCGTTCTGCTCCTCGTTCCAGGCCATCAGCCGCCGGTGCTCCTCCAGCTCCTCCGCGGAGCCGCCGGCAGCGAGGCGCTCCTCCCGCTTCCTCTGCAGCACCTCGGCCCTGAACTCCGCCCTGAGAGAGCAGCGGAGGGCGCTGAGCTCCGGCCCGGGCTGCGGGCACAGCGGCTTCTCCCCGGGCTGCCCCACGGCGGGGCCAGCCCCAGCACCCAGCCCCACAGCGGGGCCGGCCCCAGCACCCTGCCCCACAGCGGGGCCGGCCCCAGCACCCTGCCCCACAGCGGGGCCGGCCCCAGCACCCAGCCCCACAGCGGGGCCGGCCCCAGCACCCAGCCCCACAGCGGGGCCGGCCCCAGCACCCTGCCCCACAGCGGGGCCGGCCCCAGCACCCAGCCCCACAGCGGGGCCGGCCCCAGCACCCAGCCCCACAGCGGGGCCGGCCCCAGCACCCTGCCCCACAGCGGGGCCGGCCCCAGCACCCTGCCCCACAGTGCTCCCAGCCCCTGCCCCACAGTGCTCCCAGCCCCAGCACCCAGCCCCACAGTGCTCCCAGCACCCAGCCCCACAGTGCTCCCAGCCCCACAGTGCTCCCAGCACCCAGCCCCACAGTGCTCCCAGCCCCACAGTGCTCCCAGCACCCTGCCCCACAGTGCTCCCAGCACCCTGCCCCACAGTGCTCCCAGCCCCACAGCGCTCCCAGCCCCACCACCCTCACTCTTCCCTACCCCTCCCCAGTCCAAACCCATCCCCTTTCCCACCCCCAGCACCCCAGACCCACCTGCCCCTGTTACAAACTGCCCCACACCCCAGCCCTGCCCCTCACAGCGGCCCCAAACGGCCACAGGCCCGACACTTCCCTGCCCCACAGCCCCACAGCCATCCTCAGACCCCACAGCCAGTCCCACACCCCTCTCCTGTCCCACCTCAGCCCCCCAGCGCTTCATTCAGCCTCCAACCCCACACCCAGAGCCGCCCCCGACCTTCCCCTGCCCCACGGCAGCCTCACAGCCCCACTGCTGTCTCCCTGCACCACAGCCAGTCCCTTACCCAGCCCTCCTCAGCCCCACAACCACCCCAGCCCCATAACCACCCCCAGCCCTCCTCAGCCCCACAGCCATCCCAGCCCCATAACCAGTCCCAGCCCTCCTCAGTCCCACAACCACCCCAGCCCCACAACCACCCCCAGCCCTACAACCACCCCAGCCCCACAACCACCCCAGCCCCACAACCCCCCCCAGCCCCATAACCCCCCCCAGCCCCACAATCACCCCCAGCCCTCCTCAGCCCCATAACCACCTCCAGCCCTCCTCAGCCCCACATCCACCCCAGCCCCATAACCACCCCCAGCCCTCCTCAGCCCCACAACCACCCCCAGCCCTCCTCAGCCCCATAACCACCCCCAGCCCTCCTAAGCCCCACAACCACCCCCAGCCCCACAACCACCCCCAGCCCCACAACCACCCCCAGCCCTCCTCAGCCCCACAACCACCCCCAGCCCCATAACCACCCCCAGCCCTCCTCAGCCCCACAACCACCCCCAGCCCAAGCGGTGTCCGACCCTCCCCTGCCCCACACAAGCCCCGCGCCCCCCCAGCCCAGCCGGGCCCCACATGCCCGTGCCGTGCCGGTACCGGAGGGCGCTGAGCACCAGCCGGTGCTGCCGGTACCGCTCCAGCACCACCAGCAGCTCCTCGGGGTCCACGGGCGGCGGCAGCTTCACCCGGCCCGCCTTGGACTTGGCGGGGGGATCGTGCCGGGTCTTGCGGCCCCGCACCGGCACCGCCCGCGGGGCCCAGGCGGGGCAGAGCCCCGGGCCGAGCCCCGGGACGAGCCCCGGGCCCAGCGCGGGCGGCAGGGCCGGGAGCGGGACGGGCCCCGGGCGGCAGCGCCTCAGCGCCCGCAACATGGCGGCGCGGGGGAGACACGGCGCGGAGTGACGTCACAGCCGCGCCGCGGGGAGCGGGGCATGATGGGAAATGGAGTCCGGGAGGGGAGCGGGGCATGATGGGAAATGGAGTCCGGGAGGGGAGCGGGGCACGGACATGGACACGGACACCCGTGGGGCAGGGACAGGGACACCCGTGGGGCAGGGACAGGGACAGCCAGGGGACAGGGACAGGGACAGCCAGGGACACGGACACCCGTGGGGCAGGGACAGGGACACCCGTGGGGCAGGGACAGGGACAGCCAGGGACACGGACAGGGACAGCCAGGGACACGGACACCCGTGGGGCAGGGACAGGGACACCCGTGGGGCAGGGACAGGGACAGCCAGGGGACAGGGACACCCGTGGGACAGGGACAGCCAGGGACATGGACACCCGTGGGACAGGGACAGGGACAGCCAGGGGACAGGGACACCCGTGGGGCAGGGACAGCCAGGGACATGGACACCCGTGGGACAGGGACGGGGACAGCCAGGGGACAGGGACAGGGACACCCGTGGGGCAGGGACAGGGACACTCGTGGGACAGGGACAGGGACAGCCAGGGGACAGGGACACCCGTGGGACAGGGACATGGACACCCGTGGGGCAGGGACAGGGACAGCCAGGGACAGGGACACCCGTGGGGCAGGGACAGCCAGGGACATGGACACCCGTGGGACAGGGACGGGGACAGCCAGGGACAGGGACACCCGTGGGGAAGGGACAAGAGACAAACAGGGACACAGACACCGGCGGGGACAGGGACACCCTATACGGGACAGGAACACCCGTGGGACACGGACATCTGTGGGGCAAGGGGCACTCTACACGGGACAGGAACACCCGTGGGACACGACACCCCAAAACCGGACACCCGGGGACACGAATTCCCGCCCCCTGGACCCCAAGGAACGCGACACCCCCACGGGACACGGCATCCATCTGGGGACACCAGCCCCACCCGCCGCACGGCATCGCATCCCCAAGGGACACCCCTGTCCCCATGGGCACACATGCCACCCCTCCGGCAGCCCACGCAGCCCCACGCGAGTCCCCCTCCATCACCATCAGTGCGCACAGATCGCCCCCAGCCCCTTTATTCCCCGTGGGGGGGTCCCGGCTCGATCCCGCGGGGGTCGGCGGCTCCGCTCAGGGGCGCAGCGCGGGCGGCTGCGGGAGAGGGGCGGGGGGGATCGGTCAGTCCCATTCCCCGGGACCCCTTCCTCCCCGGGACCCCCGGGATGGGTCAGTCCCGTTCCCCGGGACCCCCGGGATGGGTCAGTCCCGTTCCCCGGGACCCCCGGGATGGGTCAGCCCCGTTCCCCGGGACCCCCGAGATCGGTCAGCCCCGTTCCCCGGGACCCTTTCCTCCCCAAGACCCCCGGGATCGGTCAGTCCCTCTCCAGGGACCCCCGGGATGGGTCAGTCCCGTTCCCCGGGACCCCCGGGATGGGTCAGTCCCTCTCCAGGGACCCCCGGGATGGGTCAGTCCCGTTCCCCAACACCCCCGGGATGGGTCAGTCCCTCTCCAGGGACCCCCGGGATGGGTCAATCCCTCTCCCGGGACCCCCGGGATGGGTCAGTCCCTCTCCAGGGACCCCCGGGATCGATCAGCCCCGTTCCCGGAGACCCCCGGGATGGGTCAGTCCCGTTCCCCGGGACCCCCGGGATCGGTCAGTCCCATTCCCCGGGACCCCCGGGATGGGTCATTCCCGTTCCCCAAGACCCCCGGGATGGGTCAGCCCCGTTCTCCGGGACCCCCGGGATGGGTCAGCCCCTCTCCAGGGACCCCCAGGATCGGTCAGTCCCGTTCCCCAAGACCCCCGGGATGGGTCAGTCCCGTTCCCTGGGACCCTTTCCTCCCCAAGACCCCCGGAATGGGTCAGTCCCTCTCCAGGGAACCCCGGGATGGGTCAGCCCCGCTCCCCAAGACCCCCGGGATGGGTCAGCCCCGTTCCAGGGACCCCCGGGATGGGTCAGTCCCTCTCCAGGGACCCCCGGGATGGGTCAGCCCCGTTCCCCGGGACCCCCGGGATGGGTCAGCCCCATTCCCGGGGATCCCCCCAGGACCCCCCAGCCCCGTTCCCGCTCACCGGCAGCGGCTCCTCCCGCCGGAGGGGACACGGGAGGGGACGGCAGCGCCCGAGAGGGGACGGGACCTGCGGGAGAAGGGGGAAAAAAAACGGGAAAAAAACCCCAAAAAAAGCGGGATGGGAGGGAATCACCCCGCGGGAAAAGGGGATCGATCATCTGGGGGGAAGGATAATTCAGGGAGGGGGATAATTTGGGGGAATTATAGCCCCTGGGGATGATAAATCTGGATAATTCAGGGAGGGGGATAATTTGGGATTATAGTTCGTGGGGGTGATAAATCCACATAATTGAGGGACGGGGATAATTTGGGGGGTTTATAGCTCGTGAGGGTGATAAATCTGCATAATTCAGGGAACGGGATAATTTGGGATTATAGCTCGTGGGGGTGATAAATCTGCATAATTCAGGGAGCGGGATAATTTGGGATTATAGCTCGTGGGGGTGATAAATCCACATAATTCAGGGAACAGGATAATTTGGGATTATAGCTCGTGGGGGTGATAAATCTGCATAATTCAGGGAGGGGGATAATTTGGGATTATAACCCCTGGGGGTGATAAATCCACATAATTGAGGGAGGGGGATAATTTGGGATTATAGCCCGTGGGGGTGATAAATCCGTATAATTAAAAGAGAGGGATCATTTGGGATTATAGCCGGTGGGGGTGATAAATTCACATAATTGAGGGAGGGGGATAATTTGGGGGGTTTATAGCCCGTGGGGGTGATAAACCCGAAGTGGGATTTAACCTGGGCCATGGATAAACCCAAAATCTCTAATCGAGGGAGGGGTTTATAAACCGGGGGGATAATTTGGGGCGGGGATAATCCGGATCGATTCTAACCCCAGGGGCATGTGGGGGGGACACAAACCATGGGCAGGGGGACAGAACCGGGGCGGGGAATGACCTGGAGGGGGTGACCCGGGGGGGACACCCTACCTGGAGGTTGGTGGGGGTCCGCAGGTCCCGTTTGCCCCCCGGGTACCATCCGTGGGACCAGTGCTGGCCGCGGGCACGGGGCAGGGCACAGCTCAGCAGCAGCAGCGCCAGCAGCAGCAGCGACCCGCGGGGTGCCATGGCCGGGGGGCTGCGGGGACACGGATGGCCCTGTCCCACCGCCATCCGCTCCGGGGACACCCCCCGGGGGCTGCGGGAGGGTTGAGCACCCGTGGGTGCTGCCTTGGGGTGGTTTGGGTCTGGCAGAACCTCAGGGGTTGAGTGGGGGGATGGAGATCCAGAAGGGATGAGCACCCCTGGGTGGTGCTGGGGTGGGTTTGGGATGGGGATCCAGAAGGGATGAGCACCTCTGGGTGGTGCTGGGGTGGGTTTGGGATGCAGATCCAAAGGGGATGACCCAGCACCACTTTGGGGTAAGTTTAGGATTCAGATCCAGAGGGGATGAGCACCCCTGGGTGATGCTGGGGTGGGTTTGGGATGCAGATCCATAGGGGATGACCCAGCATCACTATGGGGTGGGTTTGGGATGCAGATCCAGAAGGGGTGAGCACCCCTGGGTGGTGCTGGGATGAGTTTGGGATGGGGATCCAGAGGGGATGAGCACCCCTGGGTGATGCTGGGGTGGGTTTAGGATGCAGAAGCTGGAGGGGATGACCCAGCGTCATTTTGGGGTGGGTTTGGGATGGAGATCCAGAGGGGATGAGCACCCCTGGGTGGTGCTGGGATGGGTTTGGGATGCAGATCCAACGGGGAGGACCCAGCATCTCTTGGGGTGGGATTGGGATGGGGATCCAGAGGGGATGAGCACCCCTGGGTGGTGCTGGAGTGGGTTTAGGATGCAGAAGCTGGGGAGGATGACCCAGCATCACTATGGGGTGGGTTTGGGATGCAGATCCAGAGGGGATGAGCACCCCTGGGTGATGCTGGGGTGGGTTTGGGATGGAGATCCAGAAGGGATGAGCACCCCTGGGTGGTGCTGGGGTGGGTTTGGGATGGAGATCCAGAAGGGATGAGCACCCCTGGGTGATGCTGGGGTGGGTTTGGGATGCAGATCCAAAGGGGATGACCCAGCACCACTTTGGGGTAGGTTTAGGATTCAGATCCAGAGGGGATGAGCACCTCTGGGTGCTCTTTGGGGCTGGAGAAGCCGGAGGGGCTCAGCACCCCGGGGTGCTGCTGGGGTTTGGATCCAGCATGGATATCCCCCCACCCCCCATTGGGGTCTGATTTGGGGCAAACAGGACCCCCCACCCCCCTGCCCGGGCCCAGCCTCACCTGGGGGGTGGCGGTGGTGGCGGTGGCAGTGGTGGCAGTGCCGGTGGTGGCAGTGCCGGTGGCTATTTGAAGGGCTCGGTGACAGTGACGTCGGCCTGGCCACTGCTCCCACGGGGGACCGTGACCTCGCTGACGGCGTCGTGCCAGTGTCCGGAGCCTCCTTCCCCCCAAATCCCCCTGCCACTGCCCTCAGACGCCTTTTTGGGGTCTCAGCCCCCCCAGAACGGGCTCATTGTCCCATTTCCCGGCAGATGGATCCACATTGTCCCTCTGCAGCTGCAGGGATGCTCTTTGTTGAAAGGAGAGGAGCAAATTCCCCGTGCCTCAGTTTCCCTACCCCAGCCCAGCCCTCATTTCCTCGGTTCAAATTTGTCACCCCCAAATTGGGGCTGGATGCTGGCAACGGCCATGGAGCCCAAAGCTCCCAGATCAAGGGATGTGGCAGAGCTTGGGAAGGGGATTTAGGCAGGATCTGGCCCTGAGTATCTCCAGCAGCTGCTCATCTCTCTGATATTTGCACTTGGATGCAGGATGGGGCCAGGGCAGATGCTGTGGCAAAAGCTCAAGGCAGCTCTTGGCACCCCAAAATTTCCCCAAGCCCTCAGAGATCCTGGGAATGATGGAAAAAAAGGGGGAAAATCTCATTAACAGCCCCAGGAAGCAGCCAGCACCCACTGGGCAGTGGGATTCAAATGAAGCCCCCCTGTTTGAGGAGGGTCCCCATTTCTTTGGGGTCATCACATTTATTTCTGAGTGTGACTGACAGCCTTGCCCCAAAACCTCCAAAATTTAGGAGCTGGAATTTATTAGCAATAGGGTGATGTTGGAGTGGGGATGATGGCAGCATTAAAGCAATTTTGGGGGTGTTGTGGGTGGCTGAGGGTGTCCCCTTGCCTGTGTGCCTCCATTGAATCCCCCTGTGAATCCTGCCTGGATGGAAAAGCTGAAAAAACTCGGATACTCTGACTCATGGGAGCAAAAATCCTTTTGTTTTCCTGGGGTTTTCTTTTTTTTGGGGTTGAAATCCCAACATTTGGGTGCTGCTGTGTGGCAATTACAGTTTCCAAACCAGCAGTACATGGTGGCCTGACCCTGAGAGAGGAAAGTTTTTAGCTTCTGGTACAAAAATGAGGGTATTTATATATAAACACACACACAGAATGAGCTTTTTTTTTTTTTTCTCTCCTTATTTTTTTTTTTTTTTTAAGAGCTGACCAGCAGAAAAATGTGAAACCATTTCCCTGCAGGTTTGGAAAAGCTTGTGCTGGTGGGGGGTTGTGGTAGGGTGGGTTTGGGTTTTCAGATGAGATCCAGGATATCTTTCTTTCCTTTTTTTTTTTTTTTAAAAAGGCTTTACTCCCTCAAAAAAAAAAAAAAAAAAAGATTTACAAACAAAATAACAGCCTGTATCAACTCTCCAGAAGAGAGATGGTATGACAATATTAATCCAAACATCACGCTATTTAATTCCCCAATAAAACATTGGAAAAAAAGGAGCCAACAGTATCTGCACTAACACTTTGCTACATATAAAATCTCCAGCTAATATGAAGCTTATGGTACCAACCTCTAAAACAGTTAAGATATATACACATAGGTTTTTTTTTTTGTTTGGGGGGGTATATTAACAAACAGAATATTACAAAATATTAAAGAAGGCAACTCTTCTGTCATTTGTTTCGGGGAGGGTGGGTGTGGATTTTTTTTTGTTCCTGTTTTTTCTCTTCACTTGAAGTTGGCGTAGTCTGAGAAGGCGTCGATGTATTCCTGCACCACCTTGTAGCAGAATTCATACTGTTCCTGTGGGATTTGGGAGAGAACGGTGTCAGAGCAGGAAAATCCACACCTGAGACACCACCTCATGCTTGCTCAGGTGTCCAGAGCAGGTCCCACCTCCCTGTGACCCCCAAACCCGTGCTGGGGTACTCATGGCAAAAGAAACTCTGACTTCTCCTCTGCTCTCCGAGGTTCTGCTTGGGTCCCAAAAGACTTTTCTTCTAAAACCCTGAGCAAACTCCTCTTGCAAGACCTCACCCAGCCCCACCTGCCCCAACCCTACCAGTGTGCAGGGTTCCACAGCCACTCCAGGACACTTTTCCAGGTGTTTCAGCCCATTAATGTATGGACTGTGGCTGAGGGTATCTCCAAGGAGGTTCCTACAACTTCTGTCAGTGCTTAGAGGGCACTTGATGCCATAACAAGAGGAAGGGGAGACAGCTCCTGGCCCACCTTCACGGATCATGGATCTTAGAATGGTTTGGGTTGGAAGGAACCTTAAGGATGACCTTGTTCCACCCCCCTGCCACGGGCAGGGACACCTTCCACTGTCCCAGATCGCTCCAAGCCCCATCCAGCCTGGCCTTGGGCACTTCCAGGGATGATGAACCCACATCTTCCCTCACTCCCTCTTTCATGGAGAGCAAAAACCTTGAATCAAAGAGGTTGTTGCTCAACACTGAGCCCCCAGCACATCCTTGCTGAGGATCTGGAGGGGCAGGAGGCACCTACCAGTGTCTGCACCATGTGTGGCCTCTGTAGTCTCAAACTCTTGACAGTCTGAAAGACATCGAGGATCGCCTCTGCCTTCACCCTCTCCAGGACAGTGCTCAGCGCACAGAAGGTGCCCGTTCTTCCTGCTCCAGCACTGGCAAAGAGAAACCAGGAGGTGAGGGAAAACCCCTGCTGCCTATGCCCACAGGACAATCCACAGGTGGGAAGAGCTGGAGAACGGGAGGAGCCAGCCCTGCCCCAGCCTCTCCCAGTTTATCCACTTTGGGATCCTGACCATCTCCCGAGCTGCTCCAGGCAGGCTTTACCTGCAGTGCACAGTGATGGGGTGGTTGCCAGACTGCTGCTGCTGCTTCTGCACCGCTGCGATGATGTTGATCATCCCCTTCCCATCCCCGGGGATCCCGACCTCTGGCCAGCCGTGGAAGTGGAACTGCCGGATCTGTCGGCTCTTGTTTTCCTGCGGGGAGGGCACAGCTCCAGGTCAGGCAGCTGCTGAGAGATCTGCACCAAGGAACCCACGGGCTGACAATCCCTGGAGGAAAGCTGCTTGTGGAGGAGTGTGGGAATCCAGGGCTTCCCTCTGGCTGCCCTGGAACCCTGGCAGGGGTCAGGAACCCCCCTGGACAGAGCCCCCAGAGACACTGGCTGTGATCTCTGTCCATGGAAAAGAGTTTTCAATCTTACAGGATGAATTACCAGCTCTGAGTGTTTGATATAAGTAATAATTAAGTGTGGCACGGGTGCAAAAGTAAATTTTAGGATTCTAGATTAGAGGTTCAAAGGGGACAAGATGGAGGAAATTGGGTGTGTCTTGTCCTTTTTCTCCTTCTTCATGCCCTCCATGTTTCACTGCGGTGTTGGCATTTTTCTGTTGGTTTAGGCTGGGGACACACTGTCCAACGTAGGTGACAGATATTGGCACGTTATTGTAAATCCAGCACAGGTAGTTTGTGGTATTTAATGTTTGTAACATCCCACTGAGGGCAGAGCCCCACACGCTGCCCTGCAGGACAGAGCTGGGCAGGGCAGCAGAACATGTTAGAGATAAACAGAATAAACAACCTTGAAACCAGCACAGATGAATTATGGCTTCTTCTTTGGCAGCGGGGCTGACAGACAGAGACTTTCTACAATCTCGGAATCACCAATACCCACAGATTCCGACAGAGGAGTGGCAAGGATTAGGGGAAGAGTGGGGAATGGGGAGCAGGAGGGAGGATTGGTGGTGAGGGCAGCAGAGCAGAGGGGACGGTGGAGGAACGAGCAGCAGGACAGGGATGCAGGGATAAAAACCCTTTGGGACACTGGGGAGCTCATGGAGCTGAGGGAACACCAGCAGGGGCTCATGGCAGTGAAACCCAGGAGCAGCAGAGGTCCCAGGAGGAGCTCTTACCCTGGTGTTGGTCACC